TTCTTCATGAAAGAACACGCTGCATTAGATATTATATAATACTTTGATATGACTATCTCCTCAGCTTTGGAAAATAAAGCACTCACACAGTCAGTGGATAACAGACCAGTTCAGCAAGCAGCTACAAGGTGAAGTCATGCAACAACAAGAATACAGAATGAGGTGTAACATGGTCCTACCACATCTGGAAATAGACCAACATTACTGAAACCAACAAAGACAATGCACAAGCATCATGTAATTTTAGACTGATCATCCAAAAATAGCACCAATTGAATGGCTTAACACTCACAGAGAAAAATGATCCAAATGGCCACCAGAAAACAACAGAAGGCCTTCTAATATAGACTGCAGGATGTGTTAAAATAGCAGAAAAACTATGAAACTGGCCAGATCTGGGTAAAATGGTGGCGGGACAGACAGCAACATTGTACAGACAGATCAGTGGCTCTGAGCCAAAACTTGAAACATGAACTACAGGTTCTAAAATCCCACACACAAACATTTGCAGCTATCAGCAGCCACTGGGGCAGACTAGGAACACAGAGAGGTCACCTTAACAGGGTGACTGACAGCACTTGGTGAAATCAACAGGGTAACAGTGACCTACCTGGAAAATGACTTCTTCAATCTGACCAGAGTTTATTTTCTTCTCCAGCTTTTCAACATCAGGCTCCTATGTGAGATAGACACCTTCAGTACTCAAAACTGACCCAGCATGACCAGCTTTATTGAAACCACATGTGGTACTGACTGTTTGGACATGGTTGAACCTCTCAGAGACCAGCTGCTCCGTGTACTTCCTGTAGGCAGCATCCTGTGGCATGGTCTGCAGTGATGCCAGGATCTTAGTGTAGAGAAGCTTCAGACGCTGAGAGAGGAGTGGATGAGTTAGTGGGAGAAACACCCCGACTCCCCCAGGATGTTAACCACTGGGATTATGCACATGAATTTGTGACTTTAAAAACTATGCATCAAGTCTGAGGCATGATCACGCTCTGCACTACAGCGCGCCAACAACAAGATGGCAGGGGGAGCTGCGTGGTGCGTTCACTGTCAGCCGCTCACCTCATGTGGACTGTGGGACACTGCCAGGCCAACCAGGCCGGTCGTCTGGAAGAGAACAGCAGGAGAGACACTTGTTAAGTCTGAGTCACTTCAGCTCCTACTCACTTTTTCACTTAATCACCTTAATTTTGCACAACACTATGGATGTGCTTTGACAGCCTTCAAGGAAAACTAAAGGGCTACCATATGAGTCAAATTAATTATTTCTCATGGCCGCAAAATACGACATATATGTCATCAAAGACAAATTTTCAACACCCACACAGATGATTATTATTTTAATAAAATATGCATTTATGTAACAGCAGACATAAATTGTGTGTCAAAATGCATAAGGATGTATTGTAGAATTTAGTGTATTCACCAAATACCTACAGTAGAATTATCTGTCAGTATTGTGTTGCTTTTGGCACCTCTACTCTACTCATATCAGACACAAGTGCATCTAACAGTATTAATGATGGCTGTGTTCCATTTAGGTTGGCCAGTGCCAGGGCCTTGGTGTTGTGTGCAATTGCATGGCTTACTTACTGTCTAAATGTAAAGGAACCATCATTAATATATCTGGCTCATTAGCTTTTCCTGCTATTGTTACTATGAGAATCATCACTCTAATACAACTATGCATTACACTAACTTGATCCAAGGACATGCCTGACTGTGTGTGTGCATTTAATTCTATGCTGGATTCCTCTGGAGCACAGCACCTG